AGTTAGTGCTGTATTATTGAATATTTCATCATATGGATGTACCACAATTTTTATATCCATTTATCGGTCGAGGGACATTTGGGATCTTTCTCCTTTTTGTCTGTTTTATAAATAACACTGCTATGAACATTAAAGTGCAAGTCTTTGTATAGATGTATGATTTATTTTATCTCGGATAAATAACTAAGACTAGAATTGCTGGGTCAGATGCTAAGAATATGTTTAATTTGATAAGAAATTGCCAAACTGTACCTCTTTGGAAGTTTCAGTGGTTCTGCATCCTTGCTAAAACTGGGTGTTGTCAGTATTTTTAGTTTAGGTGTTCTAGTGCGTGTAGTGGTGTCTGTCATTTTAATTTGCATTTCTCCCGTGACTAATGATGTTGAGCATTTTTTTATACGTTTATTTGCATTGCATTTGTATTTCTACTTTCAGAACTGTGCAATAAGTTACTCTTTTTTAAAATCGGGTTGTTTGACTTATTTGGAGCTTGAGTTCTTGATGTATTCTGAAAATAAGTCTTTTGTGAGATGTGTGTTTTGCTAATATTTTCTCCAAATAGAAGAGTGACTCTTAAGTTAAGGTGTAGGCAAATATTGGACTTCAGGGGAGATAAAAGGACCCAAATCAAGGTAGTCAAATCTAGTTAGTCTCTACCTTTAAAAAATAATAAGTAAACCTCTTGTGTGGGTAAGGAGGTATAAAGCGTACTGAAGCTTGTGGTACATACAGGGTGAGCTCTTCGATATCTTCGTATGTGTAGCAGATCGAAAACTTTTGCATGGAATTAAGTGTTTGTTTGTGCTTCCAAACCATCAAGTTTGTTAGACAAGTACATTTTCTAGATAACAGGCAGTCTGTCCCTAAACACACCTGTTGCAGAGATGCCAAACAAGCAAGATCGGCTTATCGAGGCTATTAGATATCAGAGCTTCCAAATGAGAATATGTGTATAATTTACTTCACACGTCACGCTCGGCTCTTAGGTAGCGATTTAAACACACGTGGGACCAGCCAAAAAGATAGGCTGTCAGTTACAGAAGCAGAGGGCAAAGATACGCTGGAGACAGCTTTAGAATAAACGGTCTGCTTCTAATCCAGAGTTGGTTGCTGTGTTTGACACTAGGGAATGTGTAGTCAGTGGGTAAATGGATGACGGCCGAAAATGAAGGGAGTCATCAGATATTTTTAAGTAAATGAGTGGCATGGTAGAAAGTTGGGAAATAGGACTGGTTTTAATGTGAAGCCTTCGAATTGGCAGTGGAACCAATTAAGAGGCTGTTGCCTGGCTTTAGGTAAAAGATAGGAAGGGACTGAATTAGGACCAAAGAAGAGGCAAGATTTCAAAAATATTATGGAGGTATAATTGACAGGACTTGGTGATTGAAATAAATGTAGATCTTGAAGAAGAAGAGGCTTAAGATAACTCTGTTTTTCAGTTAGGGTGGCCTACTTGGTTATGCTTGTAATCATGACAAGACATTTAAATAGGAGAAACAGAATTTGAAGAGAGAATAGTGAATTCAGTTTCGATAGCTGAGTTTGAAGGGCCAGTAAGACCCCACAAATGGATGAGACTAATAAATAGCTAGACATGAAATTCTGGGCCTCGGGTGAGGTATCTGGGCTAGAGATAGAGGATTGGGTGTCATCAGAGTCTAATTTATTTTAAGGTGACATAAGATATTTTGGTATACCACGCAGAACACAAAGGGCAAGGACTACAGTCTGAATTCCAAAAAATATTAATAGTTAAGGGGCAAGTACTGCTCGGTGACAGAAGGAAGGTGGTGTTTATAGAGACGGCAGAATTCACAGTCTCGAATGCCAAAGATGAGAAAAGTTTCAAGGAACAGTAAGTGGTAATTAGTGTCCATTGCTACAAATATAACTTTGCTTAAGAAAAAAAAAAAAAAACTATGGAGTTTGGTAGCTAAAAAGTCATTAGTTGAACTGGAAACAACCCGAATGTCCATCCGCAAAAGAATAGATAATACGACTATATATTTTTATACCATGAAATACTACTCAGCAATTAAAAGAGATGATTACTGCTATACTCGACAGCGTGGATCAATCTCAAAAACATTGTGTCAAGGCAGAGGGGTGCCCAGACACACACAAAAAAACGCATACCCCGTGATTCCATTTATAGGATGACCGAGAAATGACAAAACCAGTCTATGGACAATAGAAGTCAGAAAGAGGGTGCCGCTGGAGGTGGCGAGGGAGTCGGGGTGGTGGGGAGAATTGGTGGCAAAGGAGAACAAGACTCTTTCTGACGTGAAGAAATGTTCTTTACCTTGTTTGAGGTTAGTTATAATTGCCAAAACTCATTGAGCTGTAACCGTAATATCTATGCATAACTGAATTCCAAAATAAGCAACTGGTCAGAGATGAGAGATTGAACATCTAATTTGCTTCTTCTAATTTGCAGAGAGACTTTTTTTTCCAAAAGCAAATGTCCATACGGAGAGATCACAACGACAAAATTTTTAAAGCAGAAAAACAGAAATATGAAGTAGAGGACTTAGCAAACCCAAGAAATAAAATCTAAGTGGTAAATGGAGGAAGTCATACTATAAATCAGTTTGCACTACAGAATCCTAAAAAGCTCAATAGTGGGAAATGAGGTTAAAGGCAAGCTAAAAAGAATAGGGTTGTTTAAAATTCCATCTTAAAGTTGGTTGAACCCTCCATTTACTCCTCCAATCTGTATTTAGGTGACCACTCCCCACCATCAGCACAAGACTAGATGTCCTGTCCCTGGAGAGGCTAAAACATAAGTTGCCTCGACTAAGGGACATCAGACATAGTTGAAGGGGGAAACTCTTTTTAAAACAGGGGCTTCAGTGACAGTCCACCTACATTCTAAATATTGAGATTACCAGACCTCTTTTGTAACTCAGCTCCAGAATATGGGAAAACATGCTTAAAAAGAATCTGAGAAATTTGGGGATCTGAGTTCCGAGAAATCTGATCAGCCCATGGGGGTGGGGGAGGGAAGCACCAAACTCTGACTAGAACAGATCTGAAAGTTCTGAGAGAGATGTCTCTAAGGAAATTAAATTGATAAGATTATCTGATATGTTTTAACACGCTGAGAGATTTAAATAATTAGGTAAGTTTTTGAGTTCGAATTTAGTGCTAAGCACATACAAAACTATGGAAACAAATTAAACAAGATGTTTATTAACTCCTGGGGTAATAAAAAGTTGAAAATGAAAGAAAAAGTAATCAGTGTGTGATAAAAATGTGAAGAGCTTTTACACGGCCATAATAAATACTGGATATTGATTTATGAAAAAATTATGAAATTGTGACCTAACTATAGTTACAAAAGGTGAAGGATGTGAATGTATTGTGGGGAGGTGAAGGTGAGAATAGGTAGTAAAAAAAAAAAAAAATACATCCTCGTCTTTCATAGAACAAAGTGAATAAGTAATGACTTAAACTGAAAAATCGAGAAATAACAGCATAAACACATTGTGAGAAGCAAACACCAAAAGAAACAGTTGAAACGGTTGCTTCCGAAGAGTAGTACACGGAAAAGGACTTGAGGGGTAATGTTCGCCTCTTCAAACGATACACATTCAATAACTATGATTTTTAAAAAGGAACCAAATGAAACAAAATAATCAAGGTATTTGCAAAGAGAATTTCCTAAAATTAGATTGCCACGGGTCGAAGTGAATAAAACTTGAGACTGTTCGCAGTGTACTGAGTAGATAAGGTAGGGAATGTCAGGGCGGTTAGTATAGTTGCTTGAGGGAAAGATAGGGTTGAAGGAAAATTGATAGTTTGCTTGATTATAGTTATTTCGGCAGCTAACTCATTGGTTAGTCGATTTGTTCAGGATAGGGATGAGCTTAAAGAGAAGAAAATCAGTGGGAGGGAATAAGGGAGGTATCACCATCTCAGATGAAGTGGTGGATGTTGAAATCAAAAACGAGGTTAAAGGATTAGCTTTGAAAAAGGATAAGAACATCTCTTTTTTCATGACGAAGGAAGCGATTATTGAAAAGATTTATGTCTAATAGCTTATATTAAGCTATGGTTTCTCACCGGCAGTGGTTGCTAAGTCATCCTTCGAGGAACTGGCATCGTTTTCATGATCTGAGATTGGGAGCCAGTGGAAAAAAAATGAAAGCTGAGGGGCAATTTTGGGAACTCAGCTGAGGATGGAAATCAAAATGTATATATTAGTCGGCACAGGCTGCCATAACAGAACACCACAGACTGTGTGTCTAAACAATAGACATTTATTTTCTCACAGTTTTGGAGGCTGCAAAGTCCAAGATCAAGGTGCCAGTAGGGCTTGGTTCTTGGTGAGGACTCTTCTTGGCTTGCAGACAGCCACCTTCTCACTGTGTCCTCACATGGTAGATTGAAAGCGAGCGAGCTCTCTGATAGCTCTTCTTAAAAGGATACCAATTCTATCGGGTTAGGGTTTCATCCTTTGACGTCCTTTAACCTTAACTATTTCTTGCTCCAAATACAGTCACGTAGAGGATTAGGGCTTCAAATTATGAGTCTTGGAGGGATAGAATTCAGTTCATCCCATGTACGATTCAGCACTGTAATGTGAGCTATTTTTCCATTTATACCCAAATATTCCAAGAGCAAGAGAGGACAGATGGTCGAGTTAATCCAGATTTGGGGACTAGCATGATGGAAGATCAAGGTGGCAAACAAATCGAGGGGCTGGTGAAAGTATGGCTGAAATGATTGACCATGGAAAGAGAAGCCGAGAAAGGGCCAGATTTAGATTAGGGAACGGGGAGAGCTTGGTAGGCTTCATGGCAGAGTCCTCTCAGGCCCAGAAGCTGGAGAAACAAACAAGAACTCTTCTACGGTGAAGCTTCTGTGAGTACAGTGCCTTCTTGGGACATCACTGGTTGTTTTTGCATTTTCAGCCTCACTGGCGATGAATGAGAATTAGAAAATTTAAGTTTATTAGTGGTAGCAATCATCACATTCTTTTCTTTTTTTTTTTTTAGACGGCTAAACACGTTGAACAAGTGTGCCTCAATGAAACTTGATGTGAACTTCCAAAGGAAAAAGGTAAGTGTCTGCACTTGACCGTGGCTGTCGCCACAGAAGAAGCTTGCATCCGTAGATTAAAAACAACACGAACCGAAGTAAAGCTCCAAAAGGCCCGACCATCTCCGCTTGTTCCCCAGCATCCCATCTTATCATAACCCTCATGACGTTAAATAAGTCCATCATAAACCCAGGCTGAGTTGTTTGTTTCACCATCTCCATTGGCTTCAGTTTTTATCAGAGAGTTTGCACGAAAATGTAATATGTTGTCATTCTTTACGGTAATCTTTCAGAGGTTTGTCAAGGTGTAAATATCTACTCCTTATGAGAGTCAGGACTCCACAGTGATTAGTAGATTAAGAAAATACGGAAAAGAGCCTATGGGTCTATGCCAGATGTCTCTCCCTTCATTCTTTCCCACAGCGTTTTATTTCAAGCACATTTCCTGAGGTGTTTATACCCTGGCTGGGTCCATTTCATAACCGTTGAGGGGGTCGGGGAAGAGAGGAACAGGATACTGAGCCGGCCTCATCTTTGACCCCTCTACTTCGCTTTAGTGGCAAGGAGTTTCCTTCAGGTTTAACAGTCACTGTGCTCCTTCCTCCTTCTAAAACTTGGCATGAATGAGGCTGGAGATGTCAGTTCTAAAATGAAGCTGTACTTCATTGAGCACTTACTGTTTACTGGGAGCTATGTTATACACTTGCCGTATACAATCTCATGTAATTCTTTACGGGAGGGATTCTCTGTTTTCTAGACAAGGAAAGTGAAACTTGAAGAAGTTAAATCATTTATTTGTTCATGATATTTTTAAACTCAGGCATGTCTCACTTCAAAAAACGGAGGCTCCGAACTACCTCACTGAAAGACCTCTCTTTCTCCCTGAATTGATCCTTTTAGGAAATTCAGAGTTAAGATCGTTAACTGCTTTTTTTCATTTCACATCTCTAATATGTTAACAAGTCAAACCTCAGTCTACTTCGAAGAAGCAGAGAAAACATCTTTGAGTCAGAAGAAAGTGTTCTTTATCCTGGTCTTCACAGAGAAATCATTAAACCCAGTGGATTTTAAGTCACTCCTGGGTAACCTAATCTTTAAAAATAACTTTAACCCGAATTTCTGCTCTAAAATAGCACACACACACACAAAAAAAGTTAGTGAATTTTTGTTGACCTCACCTTAAAAAGAATTGGGTGTTTGAGCTAGAAACCAAAGATTCAAGTTAAGGAGGTAATATGGTGAAAAACAATATCCAGAGAAATATTAAAGCATGAAGACAAACTAAAAATGTGGGCATGAATGTCCCAACAGCTGTCTGGCTGAATAACACCCTTGAGAAGCACACAGACTGTTTGAAGCATGAGGGTCACATGTTGTTTTGATTGTAACACATGGTTCTTATTAAACTGAGCACGGCCACACCTGCATGTCTGAAGTGTGTGGCTGGTCTATACGGCGGCCTATATAGACCTTTGGCTACAGTGTATTACAAAGGAAAATGCCCAAAACTAATGACATGATTTGTTTTCAACCAAGTGGGGTCATTATATCCCAACCCTGTCACTTGTCTTTCCAAACCCATATGTGAGATAGGCTTAAATAACATTTATTGAACTATTTATGTGTTACCGTCACAAAAGCTCCTCTGTAAGTCGGACGCTTCAGTATTCTGATATTTTTAGTTTATTCCTTATGCCGAGTAGAGTGTCACACACCCTCACAGCCCCTGCTTATCCACAGGCCTCGCCAGTGTAGGCCGTTGAACAAAATATTGCTTTTCGCGTTGTAATTTAGGGAGTCATAACCTGAATTTTCAAATAAGTAATTCCAACATGCGGTCTCCACCCAATTGTGAATCTCAGTCACGACCAGCGTCTGGGGCTGTGGGCTCGGCAGCCATGCAGGAGACCCCGAGTGGTGGCACAGGTTCCCGCAAACTGCACCTTACACGAGCCATAGGCCACTCCTTCATTTTCCTGCAAAAAAAAAAAAAAAAGCAAAAAATAAATACCGGCTGGGAAGAGGCCAAATGATCGAAAATAGAAAGTGAAACTTGAGAACCAAGTACCACGTGGAGCTTCAACCCACTTGGGAATTAGTTTATTTGGAAGAAAACTAAGGCAGCAGCATTTCTTCGAGCTCCGTCCCCATTGTATGCGATCCAAAAAAATAAAAGTATCATCCTCATCTCTAATCTGCAGAGGCCACACGTGCTTAATTCTGCAGAACGTCATCCCCGATGGCCCGTCTGGGGCCATAATCTTCCTTCTCCCCTCGGGGCTCTTGGGCCTACGAAAGGTCTGCGTGAGCTCGCCTGGTGGTTGGTATGGGGAGCATCACTCACGCGGTGCTGACTGTGTGCCAGGCACCATTCCTCACCATTAACCGCAGGTCACGGATGCAGAAATTAAAGGGCAGAGAAGCTAGGAACTTGCCCAAAGCCACTCAGAATGATTATAGGCAGGATTTGAATGCCTCTTTGCCTTTCAAAGATATTTAGAAACATGGCTGGAGACCTGGAGGAGTTTCTTTAGCCATTCATCCAGTTATGTATTTTTATTACTCTTGTTAGAAGAGGGATGTTTTTTTGCCATCTGTACTGAAGGCCACCATTTATTTAACATCTTCGTGGAAATGGATCTCTGGATCTCTCGCAGTGAACATGTCATGAATCTCATTGCTCTGCGTTGCATTTATTCTCATTGGAATCTGAAGGGTTGGCTGGTTTGAGCCAAGAAAGAAAAAAATAGTCTACAGGTAGATGAGGATGGCGAAGCCTCATCCACACTGAGTTGGCCATGCATCTTTCTTGTACAATAAATGCCACTCGTAAAGCAAATCTCACGTGCCCTCCCACGACGTAGTACCACAAGATTTTCTCCTTGCAGAAGAGAAAAGTGGTCTCTCAGAGATTCAAGATGACCTTCCCCGTCTCTGGGACAGTTAGGTGGAGAAGCAGGTTCTCAGTCTTGGCCACAACCCAGCCCAGAAGTGTTTGCAGAGAGCCTGTGACACCAGCAGTCCCCCGCCTCTGGCTTCAGGCCCCTGCAATGTGGCAAGGGGCACGTTTGCGCTTCACACAGGGCCGACTCGGCCACTCAGCTCCAGTTAACGTTAATGGAAGATAACTTCTAAATTGCTATGTAACTGTGGATTAGCTGCCTCTCTTGCTGCTGTGGACTCCTATACGTGGGCTCCTGTTTGCAGTATAAAGTTATAGCCAAATTCCATTTAAAAAACAACAAGAACAACCTTCCTTTGGCAGCGTTTGGTTGGTATTTGGAGAATGTGTAATTTCGGCTTAGAATGTTCTCATTTTTTAGGGAAAAAAACAAACATTAGCGCTTCATCCAAATGAAAAACAAGGCACATGCGAATGCTACTTGTTCTCAGAAAAAATGTTGTCATTATTACTCAAAATCTCAACTTACTTAGT